TTCAGGGAATCTATTTCTTCCTGGTTGAGCCTAGGGAGGCTGTGTGTTTCTAGAAATTTGTCCATTTCCTCCACATTTTCCAGTTTGTGTGCATAAAGATTTTTGTAGTATTCATAAATTATATCTTGTATCTCTTTGGGATCAGTTGTGATATCTCCTTTTTTGTTCCTTGATGGAGCTTATTAGAGATTTCTCTTTTCTAGTTTTGTTAGCCTAGCCAATGGCGTGTCAATTTTATTTTTTTCAAAGAACCAACTTTTTGTTTTATTAATCTCCTGAATAGCTTCTCTGTTTTCAATTTTGTTTAGTTCTGATTTGATCTTGTTGATTTCACTTCTTCTGCTGGGTTTGGCGTTGGCCTGTTCTTCTTTTTCCAGCTCTTTGAGTTGTTTCATTAGATTGTCTATGTGTGATCTTTTTGACTTTTGGTTATAGGCATTTATGGAGATGAACTTTCCTCTCAGAACTGCTTTAGCTGTGTCCCAGAGGATTTGATAACTTGTTTCTCCATTGTCATTTTGTTCATAGAATTTTTGTATTTCCATCTTGATTTCTTCATTTATGAAATAATCATTTAATAGGAGGTTGTTTAATTTCCACGTTTTTGTGTAGAAATGTGAGTTTCTATTAGGGTTGATTTCTACTTTTATTCTACTGTGATCTGAGAAGATACATGGTATGATTTCTATTATTTTAAAATTTCTTGAGGCTTACTTTGTGTCTTAGGATATGGTCAATCTTAGAGAATGTCCCATGAGCTGATGAGAAGAATGTTATCTTCAGTGGATTTGGGTAGAATGACCTGTAAATGTCAGACCCAATTGTTCTAGAGTTTTGTTTAAGTCCATTATTTCTTTATTTTTTTTTTATTTTTATTTATTTATTTTTTTTTGAGACAGAGTCTTGCTTTGTTGCCCAGGCTAGAGTGAGTGCCGTGGCGTCAGCCTAGCTCACAGCAACCTCAAACTCCTGGGCTCAGGCAATCCTCCTGCCTCAGCCTCTGGAGTAGCTGGGACTACAGCAGCACCACCATGCCTGGCTAATTTTTTCTATATATATTAGTTGGCCAATTAATTTCTTTCTATTTATAGTAGAGACGGGGTCTCGCTCTTGCTCAGGCTGGTTTCGAACTCCTGACCTCGAGCAATCCGCCCGCCTCGGCCTCCCAGAGAGCATTATTTCTTTATTAATTTTCTGTTTGGAGGCTCTGTCTTGTGCCGTCAGTGGGGTGTTGAAATCTCCGGTGATTATGGAGTTGCTATTAATCAATTTGCTTAGATCCAGTAAGGTTTGCTTTATGAATCTGGGTGTACCTAAGTTGGGTGCATGTATATTTAAAATTGTTATCTCTTGTTGAACTGTGCCCTTCACCATTATATAATGACCCTCTTTGTCTTTCACTACTTTTGTTGGTTTAAAAACTAGATCGTCTGAAATTATAATTTATTGGGCTTTTTGTCTGATGGAATTCAAATTATTTTCCCCCTTTCATGTCTATTTCATGTTTTTTATTATTTAGAATTGCTTTTGGCCATAAGTAACAGAAAACTCATGTAGCTTAAGCAAATAAGGATTTATTCTCAAATAAGTTGTCTGGAGGTGTAGGCAGTTTAACTGTTCAACCTTGTCGGCAACCCAGGTTCTTTCCAATTTTCCTTCCTGCCATCCTTAACAGGTGGGCTTGTTGCCTTATAGTAACAACATGGCTGCCAAACTCCAGGCATCACACTCACATTCAAGGAAGGAAGAAGTGTGGTGAGTGAGACAAGGGGGAGAGGCAGTTTAGGTACCTCGGGAAGTAAAAGTTTTCCCAGCACACTTCACCTTTTGTCTCATTGACTATAGAGGGTCACATCAACATCTTCGCTGCAAGGGAGTTTGAGAGAACAAGTATTTAAATTTCCAACATCTATAGTGGAGGTGGGCGAGGAAGAGGGGGATTGGGAATGGGTAGGTGATTAGCCCGTCAGCAGTGTCTACAGAAGAGATCATTACTTCTTTATTTATATTACTTTTTACATATTTATATTACATCATTACTTCATATTTATATGGAGTAAAGAAAGACCTTTGGACTGATCCTAAATAAGTCCTCTTGAAGGCTAAGGTGTTTTTTCTTTGTATGAAAACAAAATAATTTTATGTTTTTAATTGATGTAAAATTCACATAAGATTAACCATTGTAAACTGTGCAACTCAGTGGCAGTGAATTAATATATTCAGTGTTGTGCAACCACCTCTATCAAGTTCTAAAACATTTTCATCACTCCAAAAGAGAACCCCATCCCCATCATGGTAGTTAATCTTATGTCCACTTAGCTAAGCTGTGGTACCCAGCTATTCTGTCAAACAGGTCTATGTGTTACTGTAATGGTGGTATTTAAATCAGTAGAGTGAGGTCTCTGAAGAGGAAAGAATTCTGCCTCGGTTTCTAGCTTTCAGATTTGAGACTTCAATATCAACTTCTGCTAGAATTTCAGCCTGCTGGCCTGCCTGCCCTGGACATTTGCGAGCCCTGATAATCCTGAGCTAATACCTTAAACTCAGTAAGTCAATTTCCCTTTCTCACTTTCTCCGCGTGTGTGTCCTAACCTTAATACACGCACTATAACACTCCCCCCGCCCCCATTCTCTCTAGTCCCTGGCAACCACTAATCTAAGGATTTACCTATACTGGATATGTAAATACAGACTCCTATAAGATGTGACCTCTGAACTCTGGCTGCTTTCCCTTAGCACGTTTTCAAGGTTGTAGCATGTATCAGTAATTCACCCCTTTTTATGGCTAAATAATCCATTTTTATATACATATATATTTCATTTATCCATTTTTGTTGGACATTTGGGTTTCTACCTTTTGGCTATTGTGAATAGCACTGGTACGAACATTAGTGTGTATTTGTTTGAACACATTTTTAATTCTTTTGGGTATATACCCAGGAGAGGAATTGCTGGGTCAAACGGTAACTTACTGAACTGCCAAGCTGTTTTCCACAGTGGCTGTACCATTTTACATTCCCACCAACTATGTAGGAGGATTCCAATTTCTCCACTTTTGTTTTTATTCCAGCCATGCTAGTGGGTGTGAAGTGGCATCTCGCTGGTTTTGATTCATCTTTCCCTGATGCCTAACGATGTGGACCATCTTTTCACGCTCACTGACCATTTAGACATCACCTTTTGGAGAAATATTTCTAGTGTTTAAGTTCCCAATCTCCACTTTTTCCTGAGACATACTTTCTTTTCAGTGTCTTGACAGGCCTTTTTGTGTTTATACGTGCAGCAGAAGTTGTATTGCAGCCATAACTTTCTAGCAGATGCTGATGGGAGGTTTAGAAGCTGTCTTGCAATTTCCTAAGCTTCATGCATATCACATGAAGGCAGCAACTGTTAAAATATAGTTAGATCCCATTAGGATATATTTGCTATCACCTTGAAGTCTCTTAATCACTTTTTCCCCCTCAGATGATGACACTGAGCAGTTTTTGCTCCTGAACATGACTAAGAACCTTTAGGTGGTGCTCTTTGATTAAAAACATTTATCCCTCCAACAACTTAAATACAGTAGTACATTCCAGGAGAAAATGGCCTTTAATTCTTTGAGGTGATATCCCAAGCCTGATTAGAATATTTCTCATACCGTTTCTATTGCAGAGGCTAATCTGCCCATCCACTCCCATCCTCAAGCACCCCAAGACTAATACTTTTTCAACTACTAATTATGCCTCCCAAAGAGGCCCCCATCTCTGTCCACAGAAAACCTTCCCTCATTGGGTACTGGCTTCCCTGTGACCAGGAGCTGCCTGTCCCACGGCCAGGTCATGAGATTTAACCTCCCTGCAGCCTCAAACACCAGGTCTCCCAACCTCTCCCTCCTTTCTCTTTGCTCACTTTTCTGCCAACTGTTCATCATGTATTTACAGGATTATCTGCTCATCTCCCAGCCCCTACTTTTGAAGTTTGCCTTTTTATTTTGGCTCCAAAGAGTTGAGGTCATTTTGAAAAACTGTCCCTTGCCTAAGTATACTCACATGTACCCTCCCTGGCACAAACTCCATCTTCCTGACTCTAAATCTACACCCTGTCTTAGTCACTTGTCCCCTAATACTTAGTACCCTGTCCCTAAGTTTCTTTAGACACATTATAGGACTAGATTCTTGTCAGATAGCCCAATCTTTTTTTTTTTTTTTTTTTGAGACAGAGTCTCGCTTTGTTGCCCAGGGCTAGAGTGAGAGCTGTGGCATCAGCCTAGCTCACAGCAACCTCAAACTCCTGGGCTCAAGCAATCCTCCTGCCTCAGCCTCCCGAGTAGCTGGGACTACAGGCATGCGCCACCATGCCCGCCTAATTTTTTCTATACATATTAGTTGGCCAATTAATTTCTATTTATGGTAGAGACGGGGGTCTCGCTCTTGCTCAGCTGGTTTTGAACTCTTGACCTCGAGCAATCCGCCTGCCTTTGCCTTCCAGAGTGCTAGGATTGACAGGTGTGAGCCACCGTGCCTGGCCTACCCCAATCTTTTAAGACTAGTCAAGTGCAGTACTAAGAAGGGAAGTAGAACAGGGAGTTCAATCTAACTGACTGTGAACAATCAAGTGACATAACTCACTGCCTTCAGCCCAGCCCTATACCCCAATCTTTAAAAAAGACTATACTTTCCAAAGATTTTACTAAAACATTTATTTTTAAACAAAAATATACAATCTTAGATTTACAGAATATAGAAATAATTTATCCAAAGCAATTTGCATTTCAAAATTGTTAATATTGCACCCAACAGTATAAGTCTTTGACACGTTTGCATTGTCAACCTTTCCCATGATTTGCAAAACGGGAGAGAAATCTGAAACTGAATTACACAAGCTAACTTTAAAAAAAAAAAAAAAAAACTAGTTATTTACAAGCTAAAGAAAAGTTGTAAACTTTCAGAAATTTACTTCCATAGCAAGCCATACATCCTTTTATCGTACCTAGAAAATGAACTTATATACATGGTATGATTTCCTCACAGGAATTCAAAGGGTCTGAAATTGTGAACATTCATAACCCAAAGCTAAAAAACAATCATTGAAAACACTCCTGTGTCTTCACTAGACTATGGAAACTAGTATGTGAAAGAATGAGAAAAGCCTTTGGAAAAAATCACTTTCCCCTCTTTGAGGATAGTTTCCATAATTATTTAAAGCTATTTCCAAATTTCCCCCAGTTTCAGAAATGTGCTCCACTAGCCTTTTCTCTCAAGATGTAAGTAAAAAAGAGTGAGGTCTCTGTTCAAGTCCCTTATAAAATACTTTACAAATAGGCAGGCACAAAGTTTGCTTTTCAAAAGAAAGCTTTGCTAAATGTTCTGCAACTTACCACTGATAATCCTCAGTTTTTTAAACAGTTTTTTTTAAATCTCGTAAATATTTAGATACATTTTAAAAACAAGAGAATCAAGTCACTTGGTGCTACAGGAAGTTGCTAAAATAGGTGATAGTAAACCAAAAACCGACTGAAGTCTTAGGATTGTGAAATTGGAAGTAATTTTCCTTGATTGTACAGAATTATGAAACCACACAGTCTATTATCAACTTTGAAAAAGTCATTGGACCACTTAGCTTCCACATGAACATTCATGAGTCTTGTCATTACTTATTTAACCAAAAAAAAAAAAAAAAACAAAAACAAAAAAACCCACCTCTAAGGTGGCCTAAAGATACAAAGGAGTCCGATCTTCAGCATGAATTCCCCATAGGGAAGTTTAATTGTAATTTTTTAATGCAACGCCACCTGAAATGAAATATCACATGCTTTCTAGTCCTACTGCCCTGGACCGAGACTGGATGAAATGTTCCCTTCGAACCGTCATGAACGTAAGCAGCTGAATAATAGGACTTTTAGAAGGGGAGCCTGGGCTGTGCTATGGATAGCCCCAACCAAGCAGTTTGCTAACAAAGGTTATTGTCTTCTGGATGTTTGCTACAAAAAAAAAAAAATCAATGAACAAAAAAGTCCTGAGAGTCTTGCATAAAAAAAAAAACCAGACAGCTCCCCGCGGAGAGCAGCCTCAGCTGTCCACGCGCCGCCGGTACTCGGCCGTGCCCTCGGCCACGATGGCGTCGAGCGGGGCGCGCTTCTTGCGGATGCTGCGGCCGGAGGAGATGAGGTCGGCGTAGCCGCGCTGGTGCGAGAAGGCGTAGGCCGAGCGCCGCGACGACGCGCCCCGCCGGAACACGCTCTGCCGCCGCTGCCACTGCTCCTCCGCCTTGAGCCGCTTGCGGTGCTTCTGGATCTGCAGGGGCCGAGGGCAGCAGGGAGGCAAGTGAGGGACACGGAGCGAGCGTCTGCACCAGGCTTCCCCCACACCTGTCTCAGGTAGGCGTGGGCAGCCCCTGTCCCCACTGCATAGACGGGGAGGGAGGGGGTGGCGCAACACTACTGCATGCCAAAGGGACACCTTGAGGGGTGCTGGGGGCACTGACAGCCTACCCAGCAGCATCTTCCTGTTTCTAGGGAACTGATCTTATTCCGGTATCCCCGACATGGCCACATCCCTCGCAGGCCGTGGGACTGTCCTTGCTAGGCACTCGTCCGAGAACAGGCCTGTGACCTAATTCTGGCAAGGCAGACCTGAGGGAGGGAAGGGTGCGGGGCTTTTGGGGGAGAAGTTTCGAGGCTTCTCAGGGAATGCCACAGAATAGTCTATGCCCCTGGACACTGCCCCAGCACGAGGGGACGCTGGGAACGGCTGTGGCCATCTCCCAGATGAAGCTAATCAGAAGACAGCAGAGGGGAGTGATGTGAAGAACCCGAGTCTTCTGTGTGTGTTTGACATTAGCAACCCACAGGCTCCATTGATTAATGATTGTGAGTTGAAATGATACCTTATTGAGACATTTTAAGTCACAGCTCTGTTATCCGTAGCCCAAAGGGACCTTGCTACAGGAGGTGACATTTTTCTTTAAGAAGAAAAACCCCAACTGGTTTGCATGGCAAAGCGTTAACACTGTGATTGTTAAACCGAGGAGACCTATACACGGGGCCGATTATTCTAGTCTCCCCTTTTGTTTAGGTTTGGAAATTTTTGTACCAAAAAGCAAGAAAACAAAAATCCCAATCCCAAAGGACTTATTTGCAAGATGGAGTTAAAGAGAAGTAGTCAGAAAAGCACTCCTACCGAACTTCTCGTGAGCTTAGAATTTTGCGGGAGAGGAGCTGTTGGGGAAATGCTTTGATTTCCGTGAGGGACAGAGTTAGGGGGAGACTGTATTTCTATATACCTTATCACTTTCTGATGGCCAGATGGTCATGGACAGGAACCGTATGGCAATGACGGGCAGCAAGCACACCGCAACGGTCAAGATGATGGTCAACCAAATGTACGGCTGTCTCAGGGCGTTGGAAGCTGTGCCTGGAGAGAGCGCGAAGAATGAGTCACACTGGCCCTTCCATCCCAAGGCCACAGTGAATAGTCAATGGTCCCCACATGGATTATTTATGGCAAAGATTTACAGCCAGACTGGCCTCCCTAAGACATCATCCCATCACTGCTCAAGAAATGGACATTTTAAAATCATTTTAAGCAAAGCAAAATTGGGCAAATTCTTTGGAACAAGGTAAATGTATATAAGTGAGCACAAAACCTAAGGGAAAAAAACAAAAGCACGTTTGCATTGATCATTAATAAAAATGCAAAATGAGGCAATAGATTTTTGAATTTTTTCATGAATTTAAAAAAGCACTTTCCAACTTATAGTTTTGGTTTGAAACGCCAAATATTAGTAATGAAAGCTAGCACAGCCAGTACCAGGTGTTTCATAAAGATCATGTCATTCAATCAGTTCTGAGAGGTGTGCATTATCCTCTGTGCCAAAGAAAGAAACTGAGTTTTAGAGAAGAAATTTGCCCAAGGTAACAAAACTAGCAATGGCAGTGCATGATTTAAAATCCACTTCTGACTGGCGCCATGCTTTTCCACTGCAATTTGGTCTCTGAGTTTTTATGTCAGAAGTTGTAACAATTGAATTCTATATAATATGATCACATAAGTATAGTTTTGAAAATTGTTAGTGTATATGATTATCTTCTAGAGACAAATTTATCACAATGTTTTCTGTACTTACACTCTTAAGTATGTAAAAAATAATGGTCTTTATATTTCAAATGTGATGTTTACACTGCTAAATGTGCATGGAATTACAAAACACTCCCTGTGAGAATATTCTAAGTAACCGAGTACTACATTTTTAAAACAGAATCACGAAAAGAAAATCATAAAAAAAAATGAGCTCAATCCCAGGAAAAGGGTTACCACAGCAACTATCTTTTACAACTCAACAACTGGTCATAAAAAGCCTAATCTTTTACAGAAAAACCAGTTTATGGGTTTGTTTTTTCCATTGTGAATCCAAACTCTCAATTCAAAATAAGATTCTTAAAAATTCTAGTTCATATTTAATATTTATGATATTCATTCATATTCTAATATTCATCATATATTTCAGTTATAATTGTTGGTCACATTATTTTGTTTTCCATCAATTTACTTGTTCTCCAGACATATTTCCATCCAGCAGTCCCCAACCTTTTTGGCACCAGGGACCGGTTTCAGGAAAGAACTTTCCCATGGACTGGGGGTACGGGGACCATGGGAGGGTGGTGGGGGTGGCCCGGAGCTCAGGCAGTGATGTGTGGCCCATTTCCTAATGGGCCATAGACCAGTACTGCAGTACAGATGCATTTTGTAGTTTGATTAGCCAATTTAATATATTAGGTCTTCAGATTACTTCTATTTTTTCCCCTGTTTTTTACAATTAGAAATGTGGTGGTGGTGTAGTCTTTTTACACATTACCTTACCAAAATTTGGTGTGTTTTATCTCAAGGCATTTTCCCCAAGTGGAAATACCTGGCTGAAATGTACGAAAAGATTTACAGTCCGTTATGCATTTTCGGATAGTGTTTTGCCAAGATGAAACTATACTACTACTGTGTTACCAGCAATACATGTATACTTTTCCAGTAACCTAACAATAGGCTCTATGGGAAAAAAAGAAAAGGCTTTTACACGTAGGTTTTTTAAGCCATAAGTTATCTAACACAACAGATGCACAATTGTATCTTATATCTTAACTTGCTTTCTTCCCACTCACGTTACTATACTCCTAACCCACTATCACCATTTAGTTTCCAGTTAAGACAATTTTCGTTAGCAATAATTTTATACCGTGTTTTACTTACCTAGAAGTTATATCAAAATCTAAACTAATGAAATTGATCTGTACATTTTTAGAATTTAGAAAATACCAACCTGTAAATTGAAAGGCAGATGGAAAGAGAACATGTATTCCAGCACTATGAAAGTCAAACATGATGCCAAAATAAAGTGCAATGCTTCCAAAAATTGAAAAAGCATTCACAAAAGTCCAATAAGAAGTATCCAAGCCAATCTGTTGGGAAACCAGAGAAAAACAGAGCATTCATTTTGGGGAGTTAGCAAGAAATTAAGAATTCAGCAACTTAATGCATGATTTGGCTTGAACAATCAGAAACCAAACCATCTTTGACTCAGGCAAGAAATAGGAAAGGTGCTTGGTGGAAGGCACTGGTCCCCAAACCTTTTTGGCACCAGGAACAAGTTTCATGGAAGACAATTTTTCTAAGGAGGGGTGGGGAGGGAGGGAATGGTTTTGGGATGATTCATATGCATTATATTTATTGTGCAGTCAAACTTCTTTGCTAATGATAATCTGTATTTGTGGCCATTCCCCAGTGCTAGCTCTCATAAGGATTGTGCAACCTAGATCCCTCGCTTGCACAGGTTACAGTAGGGTTCTCACTCCTATGAGAATCTAATGCCCCTGCTGATGTGATAGAAGGCGGAGCTTTTACAGTGACGTGAGTGACGGGGAGCGGCTATAAATACAGAGGAAGCTTCTCTGGCTTGCCTGCTGCTCACCTCCTGCTGTGTGGCCTGGTTCCTAACAGCACACGGACCACTACCAGCCCATGGCCTGGGGGTGAGGACCACAGGTTTAAGGGATGAAAATAGCATTCCTATTTTATAAAGTGGCAGAGGTGGATTAGGAGTCAGGTGGATGTACACGCCAGCCCCTGTACAAAACAGCAGGTACCAATAGACACTGAATACAGTCGCTGAAAGCCACGTACCTGGAAATTGACTGTTATTACAAGAGCAGAGGCAATGGTGACAGCAAAAGACTGGTAGTCAGATGGCGCCTCTCCGTCCTGCCCCACGGTTTGCAGATAAGCTCCAAGAGGTATGAAGAAGAGGATCATTGACGTCAAGATCCCGTGCAACAAGCTCACGAAGAATCTCCTATAGTTGAACAGTAAGTCTCTTTGTCCCACTACGTATAACCCGGGGAATCGGAGGCTCAGTTTGTCACTCACGTCCTTAAAGAGAAAACAAAATTAGAGTTGTATATCATCCATCACATCAAAGAAGTTGGAGATATGTTACAATTTATATCCCACAAAGAGTTGCAACTTGCTAGAAAGTTTTAGGAAGGAAAAACTGAACTAGAGGATCATTCCTGCAATTTTTCTGTGTGCAGACATCAATCTCATTGCTTTAGCTCACCATTACTTAAAATTTAATTCAGAGAAAGGCTAGGTAGTTTCTTATTTGCTACTTATGGAAGGAAAACAAATAAGTTTATTATTTTGCTACTTCTGGAAAGAAAAATTAGTAATGTCAAAATATAGAGAGGGAGGCTATTTTTACCTCCTGAAAGATTATTGTAAATTCTTGGGGAAAAAATTTTCTCATATAAGTTGATGAGTTAATGCTAAATTATTTTTATTCAGTACAACACTCTAAGAATTACTAGTAGATAAAAATATGCGTTTCATTCCCAAATTAATCTATAAGTTTTGGAAAATATTAAAATTTACTTTTAAAATGTGTAAATTATAGAGATAATGAGTCCCTCAGGGGTCTTAACAGTAAGGTCTAGTGTCTAAAAGGAGCATGGTAGACACTTTTGTCGATGAATTCAACTCAGACACAGAAATCCTCTCCCCCCCCCCCCCCCATGGGTCTCATTATGCTGCCCAGACTGGACTCGAACTCCTGGGCTCAAGCGATCTTCCTGCCTC